TTTAAATGTATCTGTTTGTCATTTAATCTCTCAAGTTTAGGCAGAATTTATATCTACGTCTCTGCCAAGCAACACTCTTTTTGGGGAATCAGCCGAGTAGAGTTTCAGCATTTTATTTCGGTCCTCTTTCTTTTCTTTTGAAAGCTTTGTGCTTTCTGTTAAATCTTTTCATCTAAGACACGGTGACGTTTTCGTTCTATATCATTATTCATATCCGACTATTTTAATAAAACTTTTATCTGTTAACTTGTAGGAGAAAGCCTTGGCACTGGCAGAGAACAGACCATTACCTGAATTGCATAGCAGTGCAGACATTCGTCCCCTGAGTACGGATGATTTTAGATATGCACATGAACAGGTATGTTTGTTTCTGTTACTGTGAGTGTACATGTGTTGTACTTGGTGATTGTAATCATTGCCTTTTCTTGTTAATCAAGAGAAATTCACTGTATGTATGATAGGAGAAATGAAGAATTTCTCTGGGCATGACTTGTATATATTATTGATTATAAACTTCCCACCAACCTCAGAAAGGGCCAAAAACTGAAGTTCTTGATTTCTTATAGAAGTGAATGAGAGGGAAAAGAGGCAGGCTGGGGTTCTGATCTTGGGGGCAAAGTCGCCTTGAGGTATAGGACTTGAGTTGAGGGTGGATATATTGGCTGGAAATAAATTTGGATAAATGATCTTATGGTGCATCTGTTCATAGTCATGCTTCTTACTCAATTTTGCTTGGTTGTGTGGGCCCGTGAAGCTTTCTTGTGAATATTGTTATCGATCTTGATAGATGGTTTTAAGTACATGATATGAAGCATGGACGCTCCTACTGGGGTTGTGCGCGCGAAGTGTTGGGTCATGTCAGACATGCTAGGACACGTGTGACATGCCACATAGCTTGTTCTATTTTTCATAATATTTTTTTAATCTTCGATGCTGGCGATACTTTACGGATGCTCCTCGGGCACTTTCAATAGGCCATGTGACACACAAGGACAGTCAAATTTTGTAACTTGTGGAATATAAAAGTAAAAGAAAAAATTATTTGTTAAAACATTTGTCTAAAAAAGGCAGAATATTCTATTTACTTCGTGTTGGAACTTGGTTTACATCTACTAGGTGCATTTTTCTTTCTTTGGCAATAGTAATATATAGTTTAATTCAAAGTTATTTTAATATAACACTACAAATAGCTACTAATATTATATAAAAATATTTCGCCAACAGAAATCAACACTAAAAATTTTATTGATTTATGAAAGAACTAAAGATATATTATATTAATAGAATTTAAAAGAACTTAAATCAAAATGTCCCTGACGTTTTCATTGTAATTTTTGAAAATCATGTGCGACACATCAGTGCTTTTACCGTATATTTACTTGAACTTGTGTTCATGGCTCTCATGATAGTGTGTTTCAAGCTTGTTCGTGCTGGACCCCTATTATGTTTGGGACTATTATGACCTTTTTCTTTTCTCTGTATATATTTTTTATTAATTAATTGTGATTCTCATTCAAATGCAGGTATGCGCAAGTGTTTCGTCAGAATCACATAACATGAATGAGCTTCTCCAGTGGAATGAACTTTATGGAGAAGGTGGTTCAAGAAAGAAGACATCACTTAGCTACTTTATGTAAATGAGGTACTAAAGCTGTATAGTGTTTCCTTGCTTTGGCGGTTCAATTTTTTTCTATTTTGTGGATCTGATGAGATGGTTGTGACCTGTGATCTCGGAAATCCAGTTCCAGGTTCCTCTCAACCAAAACAGAACTGGCCCTCTTGTATCATATTTAAGTTCACGGGTATTTCACCCTGACCAGATAAAAGTTTTAAATTTTTTCTCCCTGACCAGATAAAGGATTTAAAATATTTCTCAATCGTGTCTGACTAAATTTTACTTCTGTGGATCTCTCTCGTTTGTATATACAAGTTGACAATTTAAGTAGACATCAGGGTTGGAGAAGTGCAGCGGCAGTAATGATCTTAGAAATTTTCTTGTTCCCCCTTTTCTCTGTGCAAAGTGTACTGTGGAATTTTTTGGGAGTGGGAGTGGGGGTGGGGGTGGGGGTGTTATGGAGGTGGAAGTAGGCAGGCATGGTTGAGCTGGTCGTGCAAAATGTGCTTTTCAACTTCCGTGTGGAGCGGTTATCTGTTTTGTATTGTCACGACATTCCATGACTTCGATCCTAGTGTGTAGAGATCTTCTGGACCTTTTAACGGATTATTCATTTTTTCATCTTTCTTTTTATTTGCCCCCTCTAATTGCCTGTCTGTTTTCTTGTGTTATTTCTGTTTTTAGTATTTAGTTGTTACAACAATGGAATGATATTGACAGTGCATTAAGCCGTTAGAAACTTTTATATGTGAAAATTTACTCGAAAGCTACTGTACTTTTTATTCTAATTGGTGAGTGATTGATTAAGGTATTGGTTGGTGACAGATTGATCAAAATACTCGCGTAGTCACTTATGCCCCTGTTTAGTGGGGGAATGAAACAAGATTTTTAGTAGATTTTGATAGAAGTTGATAAGAAGTGATTGAAAAGTTGTAGGTCCCATAAAATGTGTGGTTAAAATTAGTCGGTGACTTTGGCTTAAATTAAAATCTGGATTTTAATTTCCACCAAACATGAACAGAAGGTTGGTTACTGAACTTGGTTTTGTTTCCAAGTTAGCATAAACTTTATGTTTCTTATAATTTGGCGATTTTGTTTTTAATAATGCTATCTAGCACCAGTGATGTTGAATTATCTAGGCGTTGGCATATTAGAGGTCCTATTAAATGGGTCATAATTCATTGTACATTATTGAACCTGTAATTTAATGTCTTGCATAGACGGGTGTTAAACATCAGTTGTGTTAAATCGTATTAATCGTTTGTTTTAGTTGAAAGTGAGGCAGTTTAGTCATTTGTTAACATAGTTACCAACTAGATTTCACGGACGGTTGGTCTACCAATGAATTTGGACAGAATGATCAAATTGTAATGAAATGTGTGAATATCTAAATTTTTGTTCATTGAATTGTCTAATTAGTACCAAGGACCCTCAACTACCAAAGTAACGATATTTATCATTATGTTGATAAACCACGATGATAATTAATATTATTATTTTGAAATAATAATTTTAAAAAATATATGTGAATAAAAAATAAGGAAAAAAATTGATTTTACGTGTGAAATTATTTGAGATTAATGTGATTAAAATGAGTTGAAAAAACATAACCTAAACAAGGACTTAATCCAACTGGAGGAGTTTGGTTTTCCTTATTTCTTATTCACACGTTTTCCAAAAAAATTACAATTTGAACACATTTTCCACAAAAATGAGGGGTTAGTCACTTGCTAAGCATGAAGTAGTTGATTGAAATATGTTATTTTTATGAATAATGCTATCTATTATTGATCTACGTGTCAATATGTAATATGTTCAGTTAAAAATGAAATTATGTAATTCATTTAATAGAACTTGTAATTTAATGTCATCAGTGCTGTCACCTAGACTGTTGTTAAATGTCAGTGGTGTTAAATATCATTACTCTATTTTTATACACGTTTAGAAAGTATTTACTAAGATTTTTATATTTGTAAAATAGGAGGATATGTAAAAATACCAATTGAAAGGAATCGATTTTATTCCATTTTCATTCCTTTTCGATACCTCCCGAGTAAAATATCAAATTGAATTCCAAATTGACATGTTAGTGTAAGCTTATTCGTGCAGCTATGCACATTTTAAATAGAAGAAATCCATTTTCTAAAAGATTCTGACTTTCATACTTCGATGTGTTTTCGAGATGCTTTTGATATAGTGTTGAAGGAATCGATCGATTGCGTAAAGCTGTCGAATCGGAAAGAGAATCAATTTCCAATTGGATTAATAAAAAGGATTCAATGAAGCTTTGTGCTTTCGTTCGCCTTTTCCCTTCTCATAGGATGCGTTGTCAACAAGTGTAAATTCCTCGATAGAAAAACATGTCTTCGATGGCGCATGATACCAAAAATGTGAACACAAAGTATACAATAGGGACGGTGCGCACAGTTTTTATCTTTGACTGGCAACATTGTACTCCAATAATATAGAGCTCTGAATTGACCAGCACCAATGGGCTCCACTAACTTCACTTATTTCTTATTTACTTATGGCAAAATTACTTTAACTGCCCCCAACTTATAGTGCGATTAACAAGTTCATCTTCAATCTTTAAAAGAAAATAATTAAGTCCTTTAAATTTTTTCACGCAGTTCTCTTGAAAGCAAGAGCTTAGTTTTCATTTATAAATGGTTTAATTGAATAGATAAAAATTAGTATAGGTAAGTGGACGATCCTTGTTGGTTCATTAAAATGTCTAATTGAAATGAAATTTGATTATTATAAATAGTTTCTGTCTGATTGGTATTAAAATTATATTTTAGTAGTTTTTAATAAAAGTTGATAAAATGTATTAATGAAAAATGTGGGGACGACCAGTTATCGAGGAGTGTTTAACACTATTTGGACAGTTTAGACCTTACTATTATCTAAACTAATTTTAATTTTATGCACACGTAATGTTACATATTATTATTTTATAGCCCTTATTTGGTTTATATTAAAATTTGATTTTTAAATATTTTGATAAAAATTAATAAACTATATGAAAAAACTGGGAATCCTATAAAAATTGTGATTAAAATTAATTGTTGAATTTGATTTTAATTTTAATTTTACCAAACAGAGCGTAATATTATGTAAAAATTTATGGCAATTATCTGGATGCTTTCATTATTAAAGACTGATTATATAAGTTATAACAAAAGATCGGGTATCACTTTGTTCGTTTTAAAAGTTGGACTTAAATTTTACGGTCGTGCAATAGATTGAGGACCGGTAGTGAAATATTTCTTTATATAGTTGCTTGATTTCCACAAAATCTGAAATCAGATTCTGTAGTCTGTACTGGGGCTGTTCTTATATTCTTTGAATTGAATTTTCGTTTTGAATTGAGAGAGAGAGAGAGATGGATTTGATTGTTCATTCCTCTACGTTTCTCCTTCCTCAACCTCAATTTCCTGCCGACAATGGCCCCTCTCTATTATATGCACTGGTATTACTTAACCAACCCTTACCCAAATTCACTCCCCTGCTCTGGAACAACGGTAAATTATAATTTTTTTTTTAATCTGTTCTAATTTTAGTTCTTTTTTTTATGTGATTATGCGGCAGTGTTAAAAAATCAGTTTAATAATTCTTTGTAGAACAGCACGACTTCGTGTGTGTGCAGATGGCGGAGCGAATCGCCTGTTTGATGAGTTGCCGCAATTGTTTCCTGATGAGCAGGCCTTGGCTATTCGAAAAAGGTTCGTCAAAATTTAAAGGAATACGTCTGGTATCTCTCTAGCAGCTTAAGCTATTTTAGATTCCAGTTTCATGTGACGATCAGTTATCGAGGAGTGTTTAATACATTTGATGCATGTAGCAATAGTACTACAGTAGACTTGTTTTTGTGTTTTTTTATTTTTTAAAATTTAAAATTCAGGTGCATGTGAGATATATCCAGTGCATAATTGACGTATTTTTCCTTTGGAAGCTTTGGAGATCCTTTAAATTTTGAGTCAAATGCCAGGAAATTCTCAATAGAGTTCAGCTATGTTTATTTTTGGTGTTCTATTTTCATATGGAATAGTTAATTATAGAGAAGAAGACTTGACTTTTAAAAAAGAATAATGCTACTTACACATAATGGAATTACATAATAGTTTACCTACAGATGATTGTCGAAAAAAAGAGTGGGAACTTTTTTTTTATTTGGCTGAAAAAATTCTGACTCAATCATATCTTACCATATCATAAGTATGTAAACCATTATGTACATGTAGGAAAGCCGTTTACAAAAAAAAGGATCAAAAAGGATTTTTAGGGAAATGTAGAAAGCAATTCTGGTTTTTATTTCAATAAGCTAGTGCTAAAAATAAATTGGCTTTCTATATTATGATAGTTGTGGGGGTTGTGCAAATCAAGCAAAGATCTGTTCTCTCTTTCTCTACCCTGGCTTAAGAAGACTAAGTAAATGGATGAGCTACTTACTCATTGTAATCTGTGTCTATGAAAGGGAAGAGAGGAGACTAAGAACAATAATCATGACATGCTCTTTTGTACCTCTTTGGTGTTAATCACGTGATTGTTTATGCAAGAATGAAATTGATGGCCTTGCTGTGAGAAATTGAATTCAAAGGGAAAATTGAAGGAATTGGTTTACTGGTTGTGAACCATGATTTATATAGAGAATTTAATTGCCATGCTTTCTTTCAGCGAGCACTCTGCCAACTGAAAAGAGAGAATTTTCTTTTATCAACCTTTATAGGGGATAGGATTAGTTTAAATTTCGTAAGATAGTAAAAGCATGAAGGTATGGATCAAGGTAGTTCTATAGGTGACCCTTGCAACTTTGATATTCTCATTTGCTCTGTGGCCTCTTAGTCTTATATTGACTCTATTTTTTTAAATTTTTTTTTGGGGAAATCATTCTCGCTGTTTCCAGAATTGCATATACAGTGTATACTGCGATGAAGGAATTGCTTCTTGATTTTTGAGTCTCATATTTGATCAGATGAAATTCATGTGCATATCGTTATATTGATAGAACTTTGGTGTTCGGAATCAGTTCTTAATATCCAAATCCTACGCTTTGCTTGAACAAAACATGAAAATAAATGAATGGTAGATATTTGTCTAACGTTTAGAACTCTTAATTGTGTGGGTGATCCAGGTATAAGCCAGACGTAATAAAAGGAGACATGGATTCAATCAGAGCTGAAGTATTGGAGTTCTACACAGATCTGGTGAGATAACTTTATCTTTTTTGTTGTTAAAATTGCACCGAATCTCTCAACTCAAAGTTATATTCATCTCCATGGAAGGGTATAGACTCTTGAGTAGAGTTTTGAACCCTAATTTAGTATCTTTGTTTGCTGAGGATGTTGCTAAATTTAAATATCCTTATTGATGTAACTCTCTTCACAATATGATTGCTGAAGACACGTCATCTTAAATGCCACTTCCCCTGCTGGGAAATATAAGGCCAGGTTTTGACAAATTTGGACCATGATGCGACCCCATGAATATAGTGAAGCATGTCCAATCATGTGCCATTTGAAAGAAATATTTAGTCTAATTTCTTATTATGTTGATATGACCCACCCTTATTACTAAGGATTAGATTCCCTACTGCCATTCTGAATCATAATAATTTTAGAGCCTAATTGATAACTACCATTGTTTTCTTAACTACTTCTCGGTGTTACTTCTTAAGTTAAATAGCATTTGTATATTCTTCAAATTTGACAAGTGCTGACAATTGATGCTCATTTTAACAAATAAAATTTAGTAGCCAGGTCAACATGATGATGTTGCTTTTGTAAGCATATAGTTCTAGAGAATTGCTTAAATTACATTTTCAGATACTTGACTCATTCTTTGGTATGTTCTGAGAAACCATATTCTGAGTATCTATAGCTTACTTATCAAATGCAGGGAACCAAGACAATAGATGCTTCTCATGATCAGGATACCACGGATTTACATAAATGTGTAGCATATATTCGTGACTTGCCAAATCTGGAGAATCAAAATGTATGTATAATGCTTCAAATGTTCCATTACCTCCATTCTCAATATCTATAAAATTTATGCTCGATCTCTGTTCTTGATCCATCTTGTCATCACATGTACTCTTTCTTGAAGAAACCGTCTCATATAAACTGAAACCATATAGGATGATTTTAGCTTATGGTTGACCAAAGTTATTTTCCATTCCTCTTCTACATTATTAACGTCTTCTAGTCAAATTCAAATTCTTCACATGTTCGTAGTTATTAGCAACCTTGATGTAATTCTGAAATATTTATAATTAAGGATCTTCACTCTCTTTTCTCCAATTTCATTTATCTGCATCTGTTGACATTCTAATCTGTTATGTCTCTGCATAAAATTTTAGTTATGTGTTCTTGTTGCCGGAGCTCTTGGTGGGAGGTTTGACCACGAGGTTGGAAATATCAACGTTCTATGCTTTTTCTCAACCATCCGAATAATTCTCCTATCGGATGATTGCCTAATCCAACTTCTTCCAAGTAGTCATCATCACGAGATCCATATCCAGTCCTCTGTTGAGGGACCACATTGTGGACTCATCCCCATTGGCATACCATCTAAAAGCACTACAACCACTGGGCTTCAGTGGGATCTTAGTAAGTATACATCATTACATTACGCGTTCTTTCTTTAGTTAAGTCGAGACAGTTCCAATAAGAATTTATTCTTTAATAGTATTTCACCTTTTGGTAAATTTTATACTTTGGTGCCTGAGACGTACGTTGGTTACTTTACCTCCTTTCAGCTGATACAGAAATGAGGTTTGGTGGCTTGATCAGTACTTCAAACATCGTAAAAGGAGAGATAGTAACCGTCCGATCTGATTCGGACCTTCTCTGGACTATATCCATTAAGAAGGCATGAAAAATTCATCGCTTACGATGTGGATCGTGCAACTTGTAGATGGTATATGTTGCAGCGAAGCGATTCAAACAAGCTCGATGCCGTCGCAAGTTTTGCGTTCATTAGCTCCGTCCCTGTTCAAATATGTGTATGATGACTTCAATTCTTTATTGCACCTGAAACGTTCTTGATGTATATGTTTCTTTTTAGGATCTATGTCTACATACAATTTTAATCTAAAACAAAGAAATTAAAGAAAAATATGTTGAAGACAAGAAAGAGAATAGTAAGGTGGATTTGAAATAAACCTCGAAGTTTTCTTTGATTAAAAGTTTGACTATTTATAAATTTTGTCTGGAAATAAATGTCTTTGTTGGTCAAAGTTTATAAATGAAGGGGAGCAAATAATTTCAACCACTGAATTTAAGTTAATCCAATGGTCTCTATCTCTTGCATTAAAATCTTTTGAAATTTATCTCCTCACATCTTATCATACCCTAATTGCATTTTAAAAATCATCAATTACCTTTCAAGAAGTGTTTTCTTCAAAGAAAAAGAAAAAGAATAATCATCCTAAAGGTAATTAAGGTATTGATTAGTTGTGGAGAGAGAAATTTTAAAGAATTTTAATATAATTGATGGAGGTCGTTAGATTAGCTTAATTTAATTGTTCGGATTATTTGTCGAAATTACATAAAAGTAACTTGTATTTAAGTTAGTAACTTAAGATTAAAATACTCTTTTCAAATATATTTAAAAGTGAGTTTAAAGTTTAAACGTTCCCAACATTTTAACAATAATCAAGAATTGAGAAACTATTTAGACCATGTTTGATTCTCATTATTTAAAAATTCATTTTTCTCATACTTATTTTCAATCACATTCTCCAAGAAATCAGTATTATAAGATATATTCTCCAAGAAATCACTAAACATCACCACGTACCTCAAATTTATTAAAAATTCGTTTTTTACATTTCCAAACTTTGTTCACCAAATATACTTCAACATATGTAGTATAAATGCAAAATGAAAAATATCCTCAATCCCATATATAATATATTAAAAGCTAAAATCATTCCAACAAACAAGCCTCATAACTCATCTCCTATTCACATCCAATTATCCCCAATTATCCCCTTCTTTTACATCAGTGAACCAAGAAAATGGTAAATCAAAATCAAAAAATCTTCAATACACTCCAAGAACCTTGCAAATTGTATCTCAACATGTAATTTTACCATATTTTTCGTCCAAAAAATATTTGTTTCCGTTATACACACGCCGATTCTTCTTCGTACAAACATGGCTCCCAACAAGACGCAAATGGACAAACCCCATATGTAGAATTTTGAAGAAGAATTTGCAAGTTCTAAAATGTAGGAAATGTAGGGATTTTGATGGGGCAGAAAATTTGTTTAATAAATGCTTGAAAGATTGGTTAAGCCTGACAATTTTTACTTTCTCGATCATAGTTAGATGTGCTAGGGCGTCTTCATTGCCCGCAAAGACTCTTAAATTGTAAGAGAAATATGTTATCTTTTGGGTATGAGCTTGATGAGGTGACTTACTCGATGATGATTGACGCATGTGGGAAGGTAGGGAATGTGGATATGGCTATGAGTTTGTATAATTGTGCAAGGATTGAGAAATGACGTGTTTAACGTTGTCGTCTTCTCAACGTTGGTTAAGATTTATGAGGCATCTAGAAATTTTGATGCACTGGCGGACCAGGGGGTCACGTTACCCCCCAACTTTTGAGATTTTTTTTTTTTCGATAAAATTTTGTTTTATATCAATTGAAATCAAAGTTTTAATTTAAATCAAAACTAACAATTAATTTTAATAATATATTTCATGAAATCCATAACTTTTTAACTTTTATCAAGATTTACTAAAAAAAAATGATTTTAATTCCTACCAAACAGGGACAAAGTCACAATAAATTTGAATTTTTTTATCTTTTCTCTTGCTCCCCCTCACTCTCTTCCTCACGTCCTTTACCAAAATATTAACCCTTCTAATTTTTTAAATTTTGTCTACAATTACTCTACAAATTGGCACATCTACTATAGATCTTCACTTTTTAATCAAATTTTCAACTAATTAGAACCTAAATTTACATTTTCTCATATCAAATTGTGTATATAAAATGTGTCTGAACTGATTATATCCAATTTGATTTATATTTAAAGAATTGTGTTTATTTGATTGATTATTAGCATTGAATATTGGTTATATATTTTTCCTTTCGATTACATGAATTGATTGTTTGTATCAAATACAATATAAATTTCTTAAACGTAAATTTGCATTTTCTTGCGATGAGCAAAATATTAATAAAATGATTGTTTGAAATCAAACGGATGAAAATGATGAGTAAAATATTAATGAAGAAACGTTTTTAAAATGTAAATCTACATTTTCTCACGTCAAATATAAATCATTCAAAAATTAAGAACAAAATATTCGATTTATATATGATTTGATTGTGTCCTCCTAATTCAAAATGTTTGCGTCCATCATTGCTTGAATGTGTATGAAGAAATGAAGACACTGCAAGTTAAGTTTAATTGACTGTGTCTAACAGTTTACTGGATGCTATGAGAAGAGCAAATAGACATTGGAAGGCAAATAATACCATTTTGGCCCATTAGTAAAAATATCATCAAAGAAGTTGGCCCAACAAGTAGTAATTTACCTCAATGTCAGTTGGAAAAATTCATATATAAGGTGTATTCTTTACCATAATTCAAAAGTAAGGTAAATAGTTTGAAAATTCAAAAATCAGGTATGAATTTAATTAATTAAAAATATTTATTAAATAAAAATAATAAAGTCACAGTTTGTGATTAATAGTCACATATTCATAATTATAAGTTACAGATTTATTTACTAGTCACATATCGTCAAATTTTTAGATCCCAAATTATTTTGAGGTCACATATCAAAAAATTTGTACGTCACAAATTATTTCAAGGTCACAAATTTTTAAATTAGTTGGTCACAAATTAGTTCGAGATCATATATTTTTAAATTAGTTGGTCACATATTATTTTTGAGTCACGTATTATTAAATTTTTAAGTTACAGTTGAGTAATTGGTCACATGGTCACCGTCACAGCCACAGTCACAGACAGAGACAAAAAATTTAATGGTCACAGATTCTTCCAAAGTCACATATAACCAAATAATTGCTCACAAATTAACCAAATAATTGCCACGGCCACGGCCAACACCAACCACACAAACACTATCACCACCACCACACAGAAAACTTTCCAAACCCATCCCAACTGCCCGATCCACCACCACTACCACTACGACCACCCTCACCCCGCCACCGCCACCGCCGCCTCCACAACGTACCACCACATCTGCTACACCACCACCACCACCACACTAACAAAGAAGAAACCACCCTGCTACAGCCCCCTCAAAACCACCACACCATCGTCGCACAACGAAAACCACAACAAACATCGCTCCAACAACCACACCTACCAATCAACCCACAACAGACGTCGCCTATAGATAGCAGCGACGATACCAACAAATACACAGCGGCTTTACGCTAGTTCCTCGAAGGGAGGCACGGACAGAGGCTCGATGCCTCTTTGGTGCCTCATAGCGAGGAGCTGGCAGAGGCACCGGCAGAGGCGCGATTGCTAAAATAGAGAGAGAGGAGAGGAGAAGAGGGGACGCGAGAGAGAGGGGAGAAGAAAAGAGAGAAGGGGCGGGTTTATACTGTAGAGAGAAGATGGAGAAGAAAAATGATGTAGGGTTTGTATTATATTATACCTGATTTGTGAATAGTGAAATTTTGTCCCTGAATTTTGAATTATAATTTTTAAACCCCGGCTATTATGTAATTTCCTCATGTCGGTATAACAGTTGGCACTTATCTTTGAGATATCATGTCTTCCAAATTCATGTGCCAATTTGCAACCATATCACAGTTTATGTTGTGTATTATGGGGTGATATTGAAGCCATGGTTTGTATATATCCTGCTTTCCAAATTAATCTTTGAAGCCTTAATTGAATACCGATGCATATATAAAAATGCAAACACGAAATTAATCGTAAGATGAGCTCCACCAATGTAACGCGAGGTCGTTTATTAGATCTCGTCGTCTTCTTCTTCTTCTCTCTTTTCCGAAAAATTGAAATGTATAGACTAATATGGTTTCTGATTAAAAACATGAAACTACAAATGATATCTAAATTGATCCAAGGCAAAAACTTCCAAAAAAAAAGGAAAATTCTGAGAAATTGCAATGTTTTTTGTTGTAGTCAATTATGATAACCGGGTAGAATAAAACCACCACATAATACAGAACGGTTGAGATCAAAAGTGACTTCTACAAAAAGGATGATATCATATAATTGATGTGACAAACAAAAATTAAAACAAGAACTATTTAAAGGTGACATGATAATATTAATAAAGTCAAATTTACAATCTTGATCAACTCTTTTATCATCCTAACCTAACAGATTTTAGTGAGCCCGCTCTCGATTTTTCCAATTCTAAATTTCAAATCCGTCCAAGATTATACATTACTCCTATTCCGTATCCATTTCAAATTCTTCTTCATACTGCTCATCGGCCGATTAGAGCTGTAGCAAATATAATTACTCACAAAGAGATACATACATGTGTGTGTATATATTGAAACAAGTGGAAGATTCACGTGGAAAGACTACTTTACGAGTTACATGATATTTCATAAAATGAATTACTATTGATTCATGGATAATAACTTTTACCATGATTTCGATAAATAAAATTTGCTAGAGGTAGATCCAATACACAAATCGGACGCACAAGCGAATGTTGAATATTCTGTAACGAGGAATGAATATTGGAATTAAATCCTCAATCGGTGACGAACATTGGTTAGAATTCCCTTTTGAATTTGCATTATGTTGTAATTAATGTACATCGTAAGCATTGCCATTTCAATTTTCAGTTACAAATCAAAAATGAGAAAGTTTCAGAATCAGTAATTTGGGTTTTATTTTGGGGGGTTGTACAGTATATATAAATGAATACTTTGGTATAATATAATCTTTTATATTTCACATGTATTTATGATTTGGGGAAATTACATAATTCAGGTGTTTGAAGATTGAAATTCAAAAATCAAGGACCAAGTTTCATTATTCAAAAATCAGGTAATATATTAAAACTCTAACCCTAATTTATCACTCTCAACTCTCTCGTCTCTCTCTCTCTCTCTCTCTCGCATCTCCTCTTCCCTCTCTCTGTAAATCTTCTCTCTACCCACCGTCGACCATCGCCCACCATCGAAGATCACCACCGACATCAACAATCCATCGTCAAACTCACGACGACGATTGAGGCAGAAGCTCAGCAACTCGATCTGAAATTTTCTCCTTCAAGACCACAGCTTGGAGCACCTGTTGGGGTGGTGGATCTTTGCTGCTGTGACTCTGTCATGCGATGCTTTCACAGCAGCATCGCGATGGGTGCTATGGGTGTATGTGTTGTGGGTGTGTGTGTGTATGTGCAGTGGCGGAGTGGAGTTGTGGTGGTAGTGGTGGTGGTGGCGGCGTCATGACAGGTGGGTGTGGTGGCGGTGATGGGTTTGGGATTTTTCGTTGGGTGGTGGTTGTGGTGTGACATGATTTTTTTTGTTGGGTGGTGCTTGGGTGCAGTGGTGGCGACGCCGTGGTACAATAGTGACAACGATGTGGTGCAGATATGGTGTGTGGTAGATTCAAATCTGGTTGGTGGTGGTGGTGGTGGTGTTTGGTTAGATGCAGTGGTGGTGGTGATGTTGGTGGTCGTGGTGGTGATAGCGGTGGCAAAGTGAGGGTGGTCAAAAGTGGCTGAAGTGGTAGTGTTAATGGTATGTGACCAAGTATTTGGTTATTTGTGATCAAGTATTTAACTGACCTAAAAATTTGACAATATGTGACTAAAAAATAATCTTTGACCAACAAATTTGAAAATATGTGACCAATGAAATTAACTGTGACCTATAATTTTTTGAATTTGTAACCTCGAAATCATTAGTGACTAATTAATTTGATAATATGTAACCAATAAATAAATTGTGATCTAATTAATAAATATTTTTAATTAATTACCTAATACCTGAGTTTTGAAATATTAAACTATCTACTTAACTTTTGAATTTGTGTAAACCATACACCTGAAATTGGTGGTGGGTCCAGCATCTAGCTGGAACTCATCATCGGCGCGCGTCACGTCTGGGTCCACTAGGGTGACTCGAGACGGGGTCGTGTCAGAAAATCTCTCTTTAACTTCTACAAATTCTATACGCATTGCAGATTTCGGATGCTCTTCCGGGCCTAATACATTCAATGCAATGCAAATTATAACTGAATCAATAAAGAAAAAATTGAAACAGTTTCTCATCAGATGCCTGTGTTTCAAGTTTTCATTAATGATCGGACCTCCAACGTTTTCAATATTCTTTTTGCTTCACTTCCGTCGGAAAGACAGTACTATGCACCGGGAGTTCCCGATTCATTTCACTGTCGCGCGTTCCCTAAAGCCTCCATTCACTTTGCTTATTCATCTTGTGCTCTTACCTGGCTTTCTGAGATTCCGAAAGAAGTATTGGATCCCTTGTCTCCTGCATGGAATAAAGGGAGAATTTCGTATTATGGAGAGAAAAATGAAGTTTCCAATGCTTTTTCAGCTCAATTTGCGAAGGATTTGGACTCATTCTTGAAAGCAAGGGCAGAAGAGTTGGTTGATGAAGGGCTACTGACTTTTATCCATGGTGTTGAGCCCAATGCTAATAAGGACACCTCTAAAATTACATTACCGTCTTTCGAACTTTTGGGATCTTGTCTTGTGGACTTAGCTAAGAAGGTAAACACTGACATTCATTTATTTTTGGATAGCCTTAATTTGCCTAGCCAATATAACAAATGATGTTGCAGGGATTATTTGATATATCCAAAGTAGACTCGTTCAACTTGCCAAAGTATTTTCCCTTTCATGATGAATTGAAAGCTTTAGTAGAAAGAAATCAAGATTTCAGTCTCGAAAGGATGGAGATACTTGACAATCCACCAAAGCGTCTCACTAATCCCGATCCCAAATCATTTGCCATGTTCATGCGAGTATTGATCAAGGGACTTCTACAAAATCATTTTGGAAGAGAAATCATGGATGAATTATTAGACATATGGAGAAAAAGTTGAAGAGTCTGGACTTCTATCGGATCCTAATGAAAATTCTCTGATGGCACTTGTCCTCCTCAAGTGCAAAAGGATGACTCGATGACTCGATCTTATAGAGACAATGAAGTCGTCCTTTAATTTAGGTCTTTTCCTTTTTAATTTATTTATTTCGGACATCTCCACCGCACCGTCTTTCTTCGTTCAGTACTAATATGTTGTGCTTGGTTGAATGGTGTAATAAATGCTTTCAATTATTTCTTGGACCTGTTAAAAAGATAAAATTTTACATGTACTGCCTTGAGCTACTTTTTTAACAGGGTTGATCTTTAAAGTTGGAATTTAAGGGTGTGTTTGAGCTACTAATAGAATCTTATCATCTAACTACCTCTTAGTGTGATTGAAAAAGAAGGAAAAGTTATTGATGTGATGAAAAATATTATTTTATTGAAAAATGTGTGGTTGAAAATGAGTAGATGAATGAGAATGAAAATTTTAATGTGGCTCAAATAGGAGCTAAAACTCAAAATACCCAGGAGCCCGTTTGGTGTACATTAAAATGAAAGAATGCATTTTTTTGAAGTGATGTGATGGGGAATATGTGGTTGAAAATGAAGGAAATGTTATTGATGTGATGAAAAATATTATTTTATTAAAGAATGTGTGGTTGAAAATGAGTAGAAGAATGAGAATGAAAAAAATAATGTGAGTCAAACAGGGGCTAGATAAGCAATTCGACCAATCTAGAAGCTTGGTCAATAAAGCTCATAATATCCGAATTCAATCTAGATGCTTTTAACAGGGTTGATCTTTAAACTTGGAAATTAAGGCCCTATTTGTTTCGGATTAAAATCAAGTTTTAATTTAAGTCAAAGTCAAACAATCAATATTAATCACATCTTTTATGAGTCTCACAACTTTTCAATAGCACATTTCAAAATTTTCTATCACAATCTACTAAAAATCTAATTTTAATCTCCACTAAACACCTACTAAGTATCAATAAAGTATTAAAGCTCATAATATCCGAATTCAATCTAGATGCTTAGTCAAACCATCGAACATTAAATTAGGGAAAATTATAAAAAAATCAAGTGTTTAAAGTTCACAGTGCAAAGGTCAGGTGCTAAAGTTTTTTAGTCATAATTTAGGTATTAGGTTAATAATTTTATATTTTAATAAATATATTAATATTAAAAATTTAAAACCCTAATTTTTTCATTTTTCCCCTTCTCCCGTCTCTCTCGACTCTCTCTTCTTCCTCTCATCGCTCACGTCTCCCTTCTTCAACCATCGTCGCCGGAGACCAATACAGTGGTGGCGGAACTCTCTGCAACACCTGCAATCGCCGACCGACAGCAGCGACGCACTCCCTGAGCAGCGGTAGCACTCAATGCGATATGTTATTCTTCTTTTTCGTCTTTTTTTTATGCGGTTGGGCGTAGTGTTGTATGCGGTGTTGGTGGTGGTGTTGTGCAGGTTGGGTACGGTTGTGGTGGTGTTTTGGTGTTGTTGGGGGGTTTTAGGTGATTTTTATTGGTTGTGCAGGTAGTTGTATTGGTGGCTATGGCAGATTTGGCGGTGGTCGTGGTCCTGGTGGTTGTGATGGTTTCTGCTAGTGGTTGTGTCGACGGTGGAGACGATTATGTTGGTGAGGTTGTAGGTTGTATATTTTTGCAGATGGTGGCAGCCGCGAAGGTGGTGGTCGTGCAAGAGATGGTGGCGCCGTGCGACGATCTGTTTTGTTGGATCGGTGGGAGATATGGTGAAATCTGAGGTGTTTTATGTGGTGGCGTCTGTGTTGGTGGATCGACGGTTGGGGTGGTGGCTGTGCTTTGTTTGGTGGCTGTGGGTGGTGGTGGTGGCTGAAGTAGTGTCGTGGTATGGGACCAAATATTTGGTTATTTGTGACCAAGTATTTAACTGTGACCTAAAAATTTGATAATATGTGACTGAAAATTAATCCTTGACCAACAAATTTGGAAATATGTGACAAATGAAATTAAGTGTGACCTGTAAATTTTTGAATTTGTGATCTCGAAATCATCTTTGACTAATTAATTTGATAATATGTGACTAATAAATAAATTGTAACCTATAATTATGTATCTGTGACCATTAATTGTATAATTGTGACCTAATTAATAAATATTTTTAATTAATTACCTAATACCTGAGTTTTGAATTGTTAAACTATCTACCTAACTTGTGAATTGGTGTAAATCATACGCTTGAAATATGAATTTTTCCCTTTTAAATGAAAATATGTGGGTTCATGTTTCTATTGGAATGGACCCAAAGTCCCAAATCCATCTTGAGTTAGCCCAGCTCAAGCCCCCTTGTGGCCCAGTAAATTAATTCATAAAATGGTATTAGGAAAAAAAAGGAAATAAAGATGGCGTCGCCCGGACTCGAACCGGAGACCTTCAGTGTGTTAGACTGACGTGATAACCAACTACACCACGACACCTCTATGTGCATTAAGCTTGCTCTTCTTTATATTTCTTTTTACTTTTTTTTAAAATCTTTGTGGGTGATTTATTTTAGGTAACCAAGGTGATGGTGCTCTAAGTCAAGACTCAAAAGTGATTTGTGAGATACGGAAGTGAACTCAGGGAATCGAATTGCCGAAGTCTTTGAAGTATGGGCGTATAAGGAGTCTCGAGTCTTGTTTCCATTCATATTTTTCCACCGTATGACAATTTAGGATCAGTTGCGCTGCATATATATAATGATTTATATACATATAATGTGTTGAGATATAATTGGATCAAAAAATTTTCAACTAAAAAAAATATTTTCCACTCTCTTTTTGACACATTGTCTGTACATAAATCATTATATAACTCCTTATTTAAAAATAGCATTATTCATTTAGGACATTGATAGGTTTTTATTGTCAATTCATTTTCATAATTTTAACTAAAGGATAATCATCTTTTTTTTTTGACAAAAATCTTCATTACATATCCAAACACTACAAATTTAGCGAATGTTCGATTGCCATTCTTTTGAGAAAAATGATATTTTAAATAGTGATTTTTTGGAGAACGTGTATTTAAAATATAGAAAAAAATTTGAATTTACGTGTACAATATTTTATTTTGTAAATGTATGATTGGAAATGAGTATGAGAATTAAATAGTTGGACCTTGCTACATGTTTATCAAGCCTTACACAATGTGTTACGCAATATCACATGACACTCTATTATCGAACGGTTTAAAATACAGTCAACTTTTTCATCCAATTATTTCACTGAATATCATTTTCCAATACACTTTTTGGATGTCCTTTTCTAAACAAATAGCATAATTCTTAAAAGAGTTTTATTGTAAAGGGAGACGAACAATGGCTCGTAACACCAAGCTACAAAGAAATTATAGGTTCTACCTAAATATATTACTCGTTAAGTTGGACCCTCCATTGCAATTTTCTTAAAATTCAAACTAACGTCTTCCAGTTCATTATTGGGTGTGAGAGAGTTTACCTTTCGGCGCTGTGTCCAGAGATCAAAACCAGTTTCGTTCTCCATTCATAGCTCTCTCTGAGTCGGTACCCATAATTTCTTTTCTCTTTTGGGGTTTAATAAACTAATCTCCGTTTTCACCCTAATTTTACACTGTTAATATTATTTATATTTTCTGAATGCAGGTTTCTTCTGCGCACCAGAATTAAAAAATGGTAAGTCCGTACTTACTGAATATTCGGTGTTATGGGTTTGTTTTGGCTATCAAATTTGAAGCTGTTGCTTAATTGTTGATATTAATTGCTTGGTTTGTTCTTGGGTTTTGCATTGCAGCTTCCACTTTCTTTGCTCAAGACAGCCCAAGGCCACCCTATGGTACGAATTATAGTAAACCTTTCGAATTTAGAAGATTAGGAAATTTGATTGCTATATTCAGATTTTCTTGAACCGTAATTATGAAAAATAAAGAGCTGTGGTTGTTTGTGTCATTTGTGAAAAATTGATGCTTATGGTGGTTTGTGTCATTTGTGACAGTTGGTAGAACTGAAAAATGGGGAGACATACAATGGGCATTTGGTTAATTGTGATACTTGGATGAACATTCATCTCCGTGAAGTCATATGTACCTCCAAGGTTCTTTATCTCTTCACTTGAATATAATATTTTGATGCCTTGATATTGTTTTTTCCCTTTTTCCTTTTATGTTGATTGAATTTATTATGCTTCTTTCTTGTTTTTATAATATAGGATGGAGATAGGTTTTGGCGGATGCCGGAGTGCTACATCAGGGGAAATACGATTAAGTATCTTAGAGTTCCAGACGAGGTATGGTCTAGAATATCTTTTTTTTCCAGCAGGTTATGCTTTATGTTGTACTTGTCCTATCTGGTTTTTGGCTAGTAATTTACTTAAATTTGTTAGCGTATTTACCACTGTTGAAAATTAGATATAGGATTTTGTCAATGGAGCTTATATCCTTTACATCTCCTTTTTCCCGAGGTAATACTCAATGTAAATTCCACATGCCATGATTTGTAGAGTGACATTGTGCTAGGTTTATACTTTAAATTATTTTATGCAATGTATTTTTGTATAAAGATGAATGTATACAAATTGTCAATAAATGGGTGTAGTTTTTCTTTGGGGAACTCTCCATTATACTTTGTGTCAATTTATGATCATGGCTTCAGTTCGTAGGTAGCTTTGTTCAAGTGTGGTTGCTTTAAATGGAAACCCCAGTAAGCGACAGCATTTGATTATCTTACCTTGTGAACTTTATCCAAGCATGACATCTCAACATAATTGGATTTGTTGCTGGTACACAGCAATGTTGTTCCCATGCAATCATGCAGATGTAAATTTACCTGTCTTCACTTTCTGAAAGCAGGCTGCATTTATTTCAAAAATCCATGTTGTTGCCACTGGGAATTGACTCTCCTCGCAGAAAATTATTTCTTTCTTCCTTATTTTTTTCTTTTTTTTTTAATTTAGTAATTAGTAAATATGTTAGTATCTTCATTAACAACTTGATTTCACACTAGTGATACTGGGGTTG